AATTCTGACTTGCCATGACCATTGATATGACGCTCGTCGCACTGGGGGCTTCGTGATGTCACGGAATACCCGCCTGGACGTGTCACGGCTTCCACCCTCGCCTTGTCGTAACGCTCGCCGTCTTTTGTCGAAGCGCACGCCGTGAGCAGCACGACGGGTACCACGAGCAGCACGACGGATACTTTGCGCAGCACGCCAGGTACAATCACTGACCCTTGCGCCTGGAGGGGTTACCGGATTGAGCAGGCAGGACCCCCTAGTTGTACAACTCTTGATTGGATTTCTGCTCAAGCTTCTGGTCAGTGACGCCAGCACCAACGCCGAGGCCTCCATCACCACCGACGCCCGCACCGACGCCAGCGGGAACGCCTGCGCCTGCGCTGGCACCAACGCCAGCGTCTACACCAGCACCGATGTCCCGACGCCAGCACCAACGCCGACGCCTACACCAGCACCGTCGCCAGCACCGACGCCAGCGCAGACGCCGGCGCCTGCGGCATCACCGACGCCAGCACCGATGCCAACATCACCGCCTGAGCGCCAACACCTCCGGCCCCCGCCGGGGCCAGCGTCTGCGCCTACGCCGACTCCAACGCCGGCGCCTGCCAGTTCCGATGCAATCAGGACATCAACACGGATGCCTGCACCGATGCCAGCACCGACGCCAGCATGAACGCCTGAGATGGTGGCAGCACCAACGCCTACGCCGACGCCAGCACCGGCGCCAGCACGAGCTTCCGCGCCTGCACCGGCACCAAACGCCAGCGCCTAAAACCAGCACTGCTAGCATCCCTGAAGACAGCACCAGCGCCGACGCCTCCATCAGCACCGACGCCAGCACCGACGCCTGCGGGAGCGCCTGCGCCTGCGCTGGCACCAACGCCAGCGCCTATACCAGCACCGATGTCATCACCGACGCCAGCACCAACGCCGACGCCTACACCAGCACCGTCGCCAGCACCGACGCCAGCACAGACGCCAGCGCTTGCGGCATCACCGACGCCAGCACCGACGCCAGCATCAACGCCTGAGGTTGCGCCAGCACCAACGCCAGCGACTACACCAGGGTCGACGCCAGCACTGACGCCAGCACGAGCGCGGTCGCCTGCGCAGGCACCAACGAGAGAGCCGACTCCAGCACCGCAACCAGACCGCAGCGAACAGGTTAGCTGTCCAGCTAAGCGGTTCGCACAGGCGCTAGCACCAACGACTGCGCCTACGCCGCCACCGACGCCAGCGCCTACACCAGACGCCTACACCAGCACCGCCGCCAGGCCGCAGCGCACCGGTAGCTGCCCAGCTAACCGGTGCGCAAGCTCTTTACCTGCAACGCCGACGCCTACACCGATGCCAGCACCGGCACCAGCACGAACGCCTGCGGTGGCACCGGCACCAACAGCAGCGCCTACACCAGCGCCGACGCCAGCACGGACGTCAGCACTCACGCCGGCGCCAGCGTCGGCACCAGAGCCAGCGCTTACAGGATCACCGACGCCAGCACCAGCGCCGACGCCTACACCAGCACCGATGCCAACACCGATGCCAGCACCGACGCCAGCAGGAACGCCTGCGATGGCGCCAGCACCAACGCCAGCGCCGACGCCAGCACCGACGCCAGCACGAACTTCCGCGCATGCGCCGGCACGAACGCGAGCGCCTCCACCAGTACCGCTATCATCACCGGCGCCAGCACTCCTTCAGCACCGGCGCCAGCGCTGACGCCGGCACGAACTTGAGCGCCTGCGCTGGCACCCCCGCCAGTGCGTTCACCAACACCGACGTCATCACCGACGCCAGCACCTACGCCGTCGCCTACACCAGCACCGCCGCCAGCACCGTCGCCAACACAGACGCTGGCGCGAACGCCGGCGCCGCCGCCAACATCGATGCCGTCGCCTGCGCTGGCAACAACGCCTGCGCCTACGCCAACACCAGCGCCAGCGCCTACGTCAGCTCCAGCATCATCGGCGGCTTCAGCACGGACGTGAGTAACGACGCCAGAACCGAGCCCAGCACCGTCGCCAACGTCATCGCCAGCACTCATCGCCAGCACCAACTCTTGCTCCTCCGCTGGCAACAGCGGCAGCGCCTACGTTCGCTCTGACCTCCTCACCTTCAGCAGCATGGACGCCGACACCGAGGCCAGCACCGAGGTCAGCATCCACGCCAGCGCCTTTGCTGCCCAACGTCTGCGCCCAGGCCGGCACCAGCGCCGGCGCCTACGCCTGCTCCGAGGTCATCGCTCACAGCAGCGCGGACGTTTTCCCCGACGCCAGCACCGAGGCCAGCACCGGCGCCAGCGCCTGCGCTGACACCACCATTTGCGCCTCTCTGCCGGCATCAATGCCAGTGCATACGTCAGCTCTGATGCCAGCAACGACACTTCGTGGCGGCATCATGCGAAGCAGCTCCCGCGTACAGTGCAGCACCACAGAGGCCACCACGACCTGGGCCAATAGCGCCACGCGCAGCCGCACCTGCGCACCCGGCAGCACCACTCGCAGCAGCGCCAGCGCATTCAGCAGCGCCAAGGGTCTACCACGCCGTCGGCAGCCGCGACCGCCCCCTGAGTGGCCTGGCAGCCCAGCGGTGACGGAGGACGCGCAGCCCAGCCCCAGCAGCCTGGAGTTTGCAGCAGCCCTCCTCTGGCATCCAGGAGTGGGCCGCGCCGGGCGGCGAGCTGCGTGACTGGCTCGGGCGCCGCACCGTGGGCGGTCGGCGATGAGGTTCCGCCCAGCAGGGCCGTAGTTGCGCCGCGTCGCGTTGATTTCTCTCTCTCTCTCTTCTCTCCTTCTCTCTCTCTCTCTCTCTACGCAGCCTGCAGGGGTAATTAGGCCGGACCCCTGAGTCCCAGCTGCATCCTTCTTGTTTCACTTTCTGGTTCCGGATTGGGGTAGTTTGATCGCCACTTCCCGCCGCGCAGGTTGGGACGCTCGAGGGAAAATTGTGTCTGGCGCGTGTCATGCCAATGGCTAGGTATGCGTGTGTGTGTGTGTGTGCGCGTGTGTTTGTGTGTTGTGCGGCGTGCGTGCGTGCGTGGGCGCGCGTCTGTGTGTGTGCGTGTGTCTTTCGTATGCGAATGGACGTGTGTGTGTGTGGCTGTGTATATGAATGCTATGGTTTGGCTGCGGATGTACATGTGTGCATGTATGATGCGCGCGCGTGCTTTACGAAGATGTGCGTACGACTGCTGTATGTACGAACGAGGAGGAATATGGGTGAAGAGGGGATGTGTGAGACGAGGCGCGGCGTGGATGGGGATGAAATTAAAACCCCACTCAACATGGGGAATAACATAGCATAGCGATGTCATAACACAATACAGCATTGCATAAACATCACAACAAATACCAGAGCAGAACACGGCATAACAGAAACCGACATACGACGAAACAACATACCATAATACATTTGATCATAGCATGACAGTTTGACGGAACGTAGCATAGCATGACACATCATCACAAAACATATCATCTCACGACAACAGAGCATAGCGACGACGAACGCGGCAGAACATGACATGCGCAGACATGACAGAACATAATAGGATCATGACAGACCATGGAAGAACATGGCATAGCAATGCCATGGCAACGTGAAGCATGACAGACCATCACATAACATACCAGGACAGACCGTGACAGAACAGACGGCGATTGAACAAACATAACAGAACACAACCGAACAAAACCTAACACACATTGACATAAACAATCGTATCAGTTTACACCGTCGCATAACGTGTCATAGCAGTACAGCCGATCATGGCGACACATAGTAGCAGGGCACATCATAACATACTATTATGCAGAGCCGAGCCGTCAACACACATAACATCACATAACATACCAAATCAGAACATGACATACCATAAGACGACATAGCATTACATACCATAACATAACATAATCGAGCATCACATAACCCACCTTAACATACGATATCATATCATGGCACAACATCGCATAACATTTCACAACGCGATAGCAAACCATAGCGACGACGAACACGACAGAACACAACATGACACAACATAACGTGACAGAACACATCAGGCTGCCGCTTTCTATCCGTTTCGCACCGAATGTTTCGATGCTTTGTTTCGCCGCGGGGTTTCTTTCAATTTCTTTCGTCGGGAGTTCTGGGGTTCTTGGATTTGGAGACAACGGAATTCGCCACCCGGCCCGACCCCCGCACTGGTCGAGACCACAGGGCCTTTGCGCGCAGCGTTCCACCAATTAGGCGACCGCGCGACGTCGGGAACCAACGCTCAAGGTTTCGGTGGGAACGCTCGAAGCAACCTGACTATTAGTTTAGACCTGCTCTGATAGTCTTCTAGACTCGTGAGGTGTTCCTTCTGTAGGTTTCTGTCAAGTTGGTCATCACTGTGTTTTCTCCATGCTGCAAACGCACTGCTGAAATCCCAGCGCGCGCGATGCGCGCGTGTGTTGTTATATAGTTCACAAGAGTATCTGCCGGCGTGAACTTTCGCACGTGGGGGCAGGACATAAGGAATCGCCGGCGCTGCGAAGAGCTCAGGACCTCCTTCGGGAGGGGAAACAGCACGCAGACGCACTTCATCGCCGAAGGGACATACTGAAAGATATGGGAAGTGGGGTGGAAGACGAAGACCCAGAACATACCCGAACAGATGGGGGGTTCTGGGATTTGTGTGTACACTCTCCAATCAGTGCTTGCAGTGAAGGGGTCCTAGCGGACGTTGACAGATTTGGCGAAAGTGTCCCGCCGATTTTGGTGGCCGGTTGGGTTCCAGGGTTCCCTGGCTCTGGGTTCTGGGTTCCCGGGTTCCTGGTCATTGGTTCCGCTCCGATTTCGGTGGGTTCCGGGTTCCCGGGCGATCTCCTCATCGATCTCTTTATCGATCCCATTTCAAACCATCCATTGATTGGGGTGCTTCTTTGGTGTATGTACTGCATTCGTGTGCCCCTGGGTCCTTTTGCTCCCCCCCCCTTGCGCACTCCCTGTGCCTGCCGCAGGCGACTTTTGGGGGGGTGGCCCTGCGCCCCGCCCCCCTCTCGGCTGCGCGCGCCTCCGCCCTTGGCTGTTGCATTTCTTGGCCGCCTCCCGAGGGCGCCTCGCCCCGGCAGCCTGCCTATGTGTTTTTATTTCGTAAACTGATCAGAAGGCAGGAGGACGAGGAGGGAGAGGAGGAGGAGGAGGAGGAGGAGGAGGAGGAGGAGGAGGGAGAGGAGGAGAAGGAGGGAGAGGAGGAGGCGGAGGAGGAGGACGAGGAGGGCGATGAGGAGGAGGAGGAGGAGGAGGAGGAAGAGGAGGAGGAGTGCCTGCCGCAGGCGACTTTTGGGGTGGTGGCCCTGCGCCCCGCCCCCTCTCGGCTGCGCGCGCCTCCGCCCTTGGCTGTTGCATTTCTTGACCGCCTCCCGAGGGCGCCTCGCCCCGGCAGCCTGACTTCGTAAATTCATCAGGAGGCAGGAGGAGGACGAGGAGGGAGAGAAGGAGGAGGAGGAGGATGAGAAGGGAGAGGGGGAGGAGGAGGGAGAGGAGGAGGCGGAGGAGGAGGACGAGGAGGGAGAGGAGGAGGAGGAGGAGGAGGAGGAGGAGGAGGAGCAGAAGGAGGGGTGCAGAGCACGGTCTGTTCGTATCCCTACGTGGGGAGTGAATGGAGGTCTTCTGAGGCCGCTTGCGTAAGGCTGTGCGTAGATCAGGATCGAGTGGACCTCGTATATTCTGCAGCGGTCGCGATGGAAAAAATGTCTGCTAGCGAGAACGTCAGACATTGGATGGCTTCAGCCTCGATGTGCGTACAGTGTGGTTCAACTTTGGGATGCAACATCTGTGTTGCAAGTTGTGGCGTGCAATCTCTGCAGTGCCTTCTGTGGAGTGCAATCTCCCTCTCTCTATGTATCCCCATTCATATCTTTTTGTTGTCCACTCCCCCCCTCAAAAAAAAATCGGACTCCCCGAATCCCGGGCCACTGGGACCCTCTGGACCCCTCGGACCCGTAGCCCCTGTAGGACCCCTTGGTCGTCCCTGCAGGAGGACCCCCAGGCGTTTCGTAGCTCCTGGAACCCCTTGCTGGGCAACGGGCCCAAATCTTAAAAATCGGGCGTGTCCCCCTACATGGGGATTTCCGACGAAAAATAAGAAATACCCAAAACATATTGCAAATTGGTTGAAACATGCTCAAAAAAAAGTCCCCGCATTATTTTGTGACTATTTTTGAATCTTCCCCCTGTAGATGGACAGGCCCCACTTAACTCAAATCGGTCAGGAGGAGGGTCGAGCGCCCCCCCCGAGTCCCCAAGAGGCCCCTGACGCCCACCAGACGCCCGAAGACGACCCAAAGAAGACTCCCAAGAGGTTTCCCAAAACACAGACAGACATTGATGTCCTAAGCTTCTTGCATGATTGTGGGAATGCCCTGTGCTTCGGTCTTTTGGGCGTCCGAGACCGCCTTGGGGGCTCGAAAATCTCCCCAACAGCATCCGAAAGGGCTCCCAGGCAGTCCAAGAGAGCTCCAAGACGGCACAACATGGTTCCAATATGGCCTAAGAGAGCCCCATGACGGTCCAAGAGGCCCCGAGACGCCCTCCGAATCATTCCAAATCTGACCCAGTCGTTCATGGAGACCGCGGTTGGAAGCAGGGTGGCCCGAGGAAGCCCCCAGAGGCCCCCAGAAGACGCCCAGGAGACCTCCAGAAGGCTTCAAGAGAGCCTTAAATGCTTCCGTGAGGCCCCCAGATGCTCTCCAAGGAGGAGCATCCGCAAACAGAGCTGAGGAGGATGGGGAATAATCCGCAGGGTAGGGCGAGAATGTGGAAAAGAAACATGGAGGCATGATAACGGATAGCGTTAGTATTCCGGCGATACCAGAGAAGGCAACAACAAGTGATCGCTAAATTGTTTGATTGATGTTTCTGCCATTCTGCCTGCATGCCAAGCTTCAAGGACCAAGGTGCATAGCGCGAAGCGCCAATGCAGTCTTGTACATATATACATATGTATATAGAGGACGCTGGCGGCGCATCACTGGGCGCTCCCTGGGAGCTGGGCGAAGCGGCACGCCGTGGGAGGAGGAAGGACTCCGTGGGACGGGGCTAGGACGAGGATCAATCCATTCCAGAGCGTTCCGAGACGCTCTTAGAGCGCTTGGGAACCTCTCTGAGAAGGCCGCCGCACCCGATACATCTTCCAGAGCCGCCGGATCTCAGAGGTTCTCCATGTTACCCTCGCCCGATATTATCCTCGCCCGATATTATTCTCGACCTCTTTTCCATGTTTCCACATATGTCCTTCATTCAACTTGCGTTGCTTTCTGCACTGTTTTCCGCCCTGCTTCTCCAGTTGTCCTCTTTCTCTTCTCTTCTCCCTCGCCGCGTGACCGCTCGGGTTACACTAGGGCTTTGGCGTGGGCCGTGTCTGGATGCCGCGATGTTTGCCTGCGGGGCAGATGACCCGCGCTTCATAATACAGTCTCTGGGTTTCAATGGGCTTGCAGATCTCGTCTCCTGTCCCCCTGCTGCTGTGCGCTGCTTGCCGTGCTCTCCTTCCTTTCTGCTCTGCTGCCTCCTCTCTCGCTCGCTCTCCTGCCTCTCTCCCTGCTGTTGTTGCCTCTCCCTCTTTCCTCCCTGCCGTCTGCTTCCCTCTCTCTGCTGTTGCTGTTGCTGTCCATGCGGCCCGCTGTCCCTGTCAAACCTTTTCGAAACGATAGCCCCATGGAGTGGAGACGCGGTTCTTGCCGGCTGGGCCTTCCAGTTGCTACGGTTCGTGGCAGGTGGAGTGTTTGCGGTGGTTAAAAAAATATCGTCCCGGCTTCGTCACACTCCTCCCTCATCCCTCATTCGCCGGCCAGCCCAGGGGGGAAGTGAGAGGGGAGGCCTTTTCAGGAGGCTCGGAAGTCCACTGGTCTTCCGAGAAGTCTTCCCAACCTTGAGCCCGCCGTAGCCGTCGAAGTTTCGTCAACGCTATGGTTAAGTCGGGCGTGTCCCTCTACAGGGGGAATATTCAAAAACAGTCAAAACAAAGTCTGGGGACAATTTTTCAGTATTTTTTTGACCATGCTGGAGTATCTTTTTGTTGCTTTTTCATTGTCGTCGAGAATCCCCCTGTAGGGGGACACGCCCGGCTTAAACCATGGGGGGGAAGTGAGAGGGGAGGCCTCATCAGAATCAAGGGCATAAAAAACGCCCCTACCCTTGTTTACGAGGCGCTGTGCGCTGAAACTCCTGTGGGCTGACAGGGTGAACCCTGCGTGATGTCCCGCGTCCTGGCGGCTCTAGGCTTTGGGGGTTCCCAGGAGGTTTACAGACCACGCACTTGTAACCCAGGGTAGGGCCGTTTTCTCATCCCTCCTCAGAAGGCTCGGAAGCCCACCGGCCTTCCGAGAAGTGGTCCCAGCCTTCTCCGGAGATGCGGAAGACTCCTCGGAGGGCCAGCGGGCTCCCGAGAAGCCCCGCCGCCCTCCGAGAAGCCTCCTCTTCTTCCTCCTCCTCCTCCTCCTTCTCCTCCTCTTCCTCCTCCTCCTCCTCTCCCCTCCTCCTCCTCCTCCTCCTCCTCCCTCCTCCTCCTCCCCCTCTCCCCCTCCCTCCTCCTCCTCCTCCTCCTCCTCCTCCTCCTCCTCCTCCTCCTCCTCCTCCTCCTCCTCCTTCCTCTTCTCACTTCCCCCCCCTCGCTCGCCGCCGATCGTCCTCCCTCTTTCCAAGGACGGCGCGTATGCCAGCTCTCCTTGTGGAAAGGTCCCTGGGAAACACAAGCAAACATGCTCCAATTCCACGATGGTTCGGTATCTTATCGATGTCCGTCTGCCCCTTCATGTTCCACATGTTTCCACCTATTCCTGGAACTCTACGTCTGTTTTTGTCTGCCTGACGGTGTGTTCGGAGTATCAGGTGGCTTTCGGCCAGGCCCGCCACCTGGGCCTGGGCTGTGGACAACCAGGCCTGGGAGGCCTCTCGGGGTTCCGTGGGGCCAGGAAAGGAGGCGAAAGCGGAGGAGATGGAGACAATAATTTATGTTGCTAGTGTTGGGGTCCGTATTTCAAGGAAGGGCTCCCAGGGCTTGTTCGCTTTGCCTCTCTCGGACCTCTCTCGGGGGCCGTGTGGGACGCACTGTAGCCATCCCTCTTGGGAGCCTCATGGGTCGTCGTGTGGCGATCTTACCAACTTCCTGGGCTCTCCGAGAGTGCTGCAAGCCCGACAAGGCGAGAACGCGATGATTCAATGAAGCCCTCAAGACTCTCCATGGCTTCGGCCTCATGAGCCCCTCTTGGGTGGGAATCTGGAGCTACAAGGGGCGTCCTGGCTGATTCGCCGGCCGTCTCGAGGAGGACCTCGTGGACAGCTTCGGGCCCTGTCTGAGCCCTCCTTGGCCGTTCGGGGTGTCCTTCGGTCTGCTCCTGGCCGTCCCGGGGCTGTCCCTGGCGACGCGGGCTCGGTCTCGAGGACCGTCGGTTGGCCGCAGAGCGGCACCCGGGCAGCAGATCCGCGGGTCTGCCGCGGGGAGCCGCCAACGGAGTGGCGCCCCCGGGGAGGAGCGCTCGAGAGCTCTGGAGCCCGGCGCTGGTCGGCGCGGGGCACTTTTGCAGAGAGGAGGGGGAGGATGAAAAGGGGAGGAGGAGGAGGAGGAGGAGGAGGAGGAGGAGGAGGAGGATGAGAAGGAGGAGGAAGAAGAGTGGGGGGGAGGAAAAAGAGAAGGAGGAGGAGACGGAGAAGGAGGAGGAGGATGAGGAGGAGGAGGGGAGGAGGAGGAGGAGGAGGAAGGAGCATACAACCGATTTCGTCAGGCGCGGCCGAAGTGGTCGACGCTGGACACACAAAACTGGCAACGTGCTGTCACACGACCCACACCTCGGGAGCGGCTGGATCTGCAGGATTTCACCCTTTGTTATCGCCGCCGCCCCCTCCCCCCCCCCCCCCCCCCCCCACACACAACACACACACACACACACACACACACACACACACACACACACACACACACACACACACACACACACACCACACACACACACACACACGCACACACACACACACACACACACACGCACACACACACACACACACACACACACACACACACACACGCACACACACACACGCACACACACACACACACACACACACACACACCCACACACACACACACACCACACGCACACGCACACGCACACGCACA